ACAGCCAGAGTGTAAAAGGGAATTTTGTTTTTCTGCTTTATCTAATCATTGCATTGTCAGACTGGTGATTATTGCTAAAATAAGTAACCTGTTGTGGGAATAAGTTAGAATCAGCATACATCTCTTTGTTTTGCTCTGTTTTCTATGATTGTGTTATTTGCATCGTTTGAAAGTATGTCTTCTATAAAATTAAAGTAACCTACCTTAACAAACAAAAAAGCCAACAGTAGGAAAAAGGGGTGTTGTTTTCTTAGGTTTACTTCCTGCTGAAATGGAACCATGATAACTCCATGGGATCCTGTAGGGAAAAAAAAGTTAGAGCAACAAAAAGTCTGGAGAGTCTAGCTGTAATATTGTAGTTAGTCTCTGTTACCAAAGACACTTGAGACATACAGCATTCCTATCATGCTGATACTCATCTGGAAGCTTCAACTTCTGGCTAGCTTTCAGTGGTGGAGGCATTACTCTCACTCACTACTAGAGGAGAAAAGTAACTATCAATCTTACCCAGGTGTGAAGCCTGACAACTACAACACCACCCAACCTGGCAAAGCATGCTCAAAGGCACTACAGTGGCACAGATGTCATGGGAGGATCAAACTACCTTCTGCTTGGATTTAGGGCATACTCCACAAGTTGAAACCCATACCTGGTACCATTACCAGAGCCAAGAACCCATAGGTAGATAGGAGATAGTTCTAAGAGAGAACCTGCTACTATTCTTTTGCTAAATGGACATAGTACTAAATAAACCAACTTATCATTGTGCTCATAGATTAACCACTTCTCAACTCTCACCAGAGAAGTTTCCATTTGCACTGGGCAGCAACTAACACAGAGACCCGCAGTGAGTCAAGGTGCAGGGAATAACAGACTGCAAAATTCTTAGCCACAAATGGGACATCTAGATGATACCCCAGCCTCCCAAGAACCAGGGATCATTGTGGATGAGGAAGCAGAAAGCCTGGAAGACCCAGGGGTGATGGATGGCTCCAAGGAAACAGTCTTTTCCTGGCATGGCACAGCAGAGCACGTGTGAACACACGGTAGATGTGACAGCACACACAAGATCTGTGCAAGCCTGACCAAGACAAAATGCCAACCTGGAGAAGGAAGGTGAGCATGAAGTCCCACCCGGTCAAGGAACCATTGATCATTAACAGCTTCTGGGGCAGGGAGAGTCAGTTTTCTCAGAGTTCAACCCCCAGTGACATCAGCCATGCTCCAGTGGGAGACCATATATCTAAGAACATACAAAGTGGACTCCGTAGGTCCCCAAATAACAATAGGACACAAAGGTGGGCTGGCTGGGAAGGGAGGTAGGTTTGGGAGGATTGGAGGAGGGGGATAAAAATGATCAAACACACTCAAACAATAAAAATAAGAAGTAAATAGCAAGCAATAAGATACCCCAGTCAAGTCTTAAATAAATTCCTTCAATGTATAAGGCTTAATGAATAACTATCTCTCTGAAAATAGATGAGGATTTGACTCATGATTTTTTGTTTTGTTTTGTTTTTTTGTTTTTTTCGAGACAGGGTTTCTCTGTGGCTTTGGAGGCTGTCTGGGAACTAGTTCTTGTAGACCAGACTGGTCTCGAACTCACAGAGATCCACCTGCCTCTGCCTTCCGAGTGCTGGGATTAAAGGCATGCACCACCAACACCTGGCTACACCTAGCTCTTAAGATCTCTCTCTCCTTGGACTCCTGAGCTTTAAGAGGCAGGGTATGATTAAAATAAAATAAAATAAAATAAAATAAAAACTCCCATTTGGAGCTGAGCACTCCAACTACTCTTAGTCTCTGCACATTTTCCAGTTGTGGGGTCACTGCATTAATTAACATCCACTGCAAGAAGAAGCTTCTCTGGCCAGGGTTGAGTGACACACTTGATCTATAGGCATAGTGACACGTCATTAGGGGCAGTTTTATTGTTGTGCTCATTTACCAGAATAATAGTATTAGATTTTCCCCTTGCCCCATGCCCAATCTAGTCTCATTAACAATGTCAGGTATGGGTTCCATCTTTTGGAGTGGGCTTCAAATCTGATTCTAAAAGTTGTTGGTCACTATCATAACAATTGTGCCATTATTGCACCGGTGGCCATATCTTGCTAGGAGCCTTTATCATTGATTACACAAGTAGCAATTAATATTCTAGGTATCAACTCCAGAATATTTGTTACTATGAATTTGGTTGTATATAGAATATATATTGGGTGATTTATAGCCTCAAATAGGCCCCAGAGAAAAGAAATTCCTTCTCACTGGGGCATCAGCAGTAAGAGCTGCAGCCTTGGATCTCAGACTACATAGCCTTAGTTTTTCCCTTTGATATAGCATTGAGAAGCCCCCTGTACTCAGTTAACAGCATGTTTTGTAAGTCATGTTTCCCCTCTTGAGATGCCTGCTTTTCTCAAGATTTTATCAGCCTTCCTGGCTCTGAGAGATATGCATGCCCTATTGTCAGAGAATTGTTAAATGTGCCTGTGGGTATAAAAACTAGAAGCCTCCTGGGATCCAGAGAACTTTTTGAAAAAAAAAAAAAACGTTTTAGAAAGAACTCTAGGAGAATTTTTAAGGAGAACTTTTGAACGAGAACTTTAAGAGAGCTTACAGAGAGGGAGAGAACTTATAGAAGGAAAATTATTGGAGAGAATTTCTAAGGAGAAATCTTAAAGAGAGCTTTTGAGAGAAAACTTTTGGGGGAGAACAGTTCTCAAAGAATAAAGAGCCATGAGAGGAACACATATGTGTTTATTTCCTTTTGACCCTCAGATGATAACTTTTTAGCAAACCCCAAGTCACCTGCTGTAAGCCTCCTGCTTGAAGTTGTGATAATATCCTGTAGGCAAGTAGTTATTATAGCTAACAGGGTTTGTTGCTGGGTGAGACTGTTTATTACTAGCTATGCCACTCTTGGGAATATATCCAAAGGACTCCACATCTTATAACAAAAGACACTTGCTCATCTATGCTCATTATTGCTCTATTCATAATAGCCAGGAAATTAAAATAGTTAAGATGTCCATCAACTGATGAATGGATAATGAAAAATATGGTACATTTACTCAATGGAATATCACTCAGCTGTTAATAAAATGAAACTATATATATTGTATAAAAACTTTTAAACTTAATGTTCACATATAGGAGAAAACATGCAATATTTGTCTTTCTGGGTCTGAGTTACCTCACTCAGGACAACTGTTTCCATTCTACCCATTTACCTGTACATTTCATAATTTCATCCTTACAATAAAGTTTTAATAATTTATTAAAAAGAAAGTTAGCTTGAATCTAGAATAGTGATAACTAAAGATTGGGAAGGGCAGCAAGAGAGGATGGGAAAAGGAAGTTGTATTTAATTGATGCACGCTATATAAAATGTGTATAAAAATATCCTACCAAACCCTGTTGACATTATTAATGAATGGAATGTCAATCAAAAACACAATGGAAAAGAAAAATCATGAATAAACTTGCTGAGAACTGGACCTTATAGATAGGATATCACATCCATATTAAAATAAACAATAAAATTATGGATATCAGTATGCTAGCTAGTTTCTGTGTCAACTTGATACATGATAGAGTCATTTGAGAAGAGGCAACCTCAATTGAGAAAATGTCTCCAAAGGAATGGGCTGTAGGCGTGCAAGCGGATAGGATCATTTCTTAGTAATTGATGGGGGAGGGTCTGCCCATTATACATGGAAAAACCCCTGGGCTGATGTCTCTAGGTTCTGTAAGAACATAGGTTGAGCCAGCCATGAGGAACAAATCAGTAAGCATGGCCTCTGCATCAGCTCCTGCCTCCAGTTTCCTGCCCTACCTTCCTTGATGAACTGTGATATGGAAGTATATGCAAAGTAAACCCTCTCCTCCCCAAGCTGCTTTTGATCATGGTGTTTTACCACAGCAATAGAAACCCTCACTTAGACAGTTGGCACATTAAAAATAATGTTAACCCAAACTAGAGGGATGGCTCAGCAGTTAAACGTACTGCCTGCTCTTCTAGAGGGCCCAAGATAGATTCCCAGCACCCGCATGACAGCTAACAACTGTACATAGCTCCAGATTCAGGGATCTAATGCTGTTTTCTCACCTCTGTGGGTATCACCTGCACGTGATACACAGACATACATTCAGGCAAAATATCCATACACATAAAATTAAAAATAAATAAATCTTATTTTTTAAAAAGTATAAACTGTCACAAAGTGAAATAACTTTGCAAGCCAAAACTATCTATTTTTATTATTACTACTCATTTAAACAGCACAGAATCACACACATAATGCAAAAGGCCACCATGCCAAAGGCAGGTGCAATTTCTGATATGTTTTACTGCATTGCTATGTGTGTCCATGTGCATGCAAATAGAAACTTCACATTCTAAGTGTGTTCTATGGTGTGGGTCCTGGCCAAAACCTTGAAAGTCACTGTCTCTGATAACTCCACAAGACCTGGTTTTTTTAAACAGCATCATCTGAGGCTGGTGAGTGAGTACCAGATCCAAAATAACTTAACTCTTACTTCTCTCTGTGGTTTCCCCAAACCTGCCAAACCTGTTTGATTAGTACTCAAGAAGAATGGATATTGCTCTTTATCTTGTAAGCCTATTTTGGAGTGGATTTTGTTTGCAGTTTAGATTTTTTTTTTTTTAAAAGATAAGGAGTATGAGGGAATGTAGGTGGGGCTATAATGACTTTTCTAATCACAAAATGTGACAACTCATGGTGCTGTCACAACCAGTGCAGTTATGCTTTACACTGATAGAGATTGTAGTGGGGGCACCAGTCAAAAGGGAAAGCAAAAGAAATGTAAGGTTATATATTTGCATCTGCATTTGAACTATAATTTTATTTAATTCCATATAGTGAACAAAAAATTTAATCAACTCTTTGATGGACTACAAATAAAATAAAGATGTGGTTCACAACATTCAATATAGTCCTAGGTAGGTTCACAGAGCCGATGTACCGAGCTTCTGGCATTTACCACTCAGCCTCACCAATGGCTTTTGCAAATACATAGTCTCTCCCTCCAAAACACATGACACCATCTTTTAAGTAGAATTTCCATCTGTTCTTGCTTCGATGAATCTGGAGAGAGAAAAATAATCCAGACTTCGTTTGGAAGCTAAGGGATCACATACATTCTTTAAAATAGCAAGTGGGGTTATTCTGACCCTAAATATAAGACCCCAAGATACTTTATTCATTCTTTAGCAAATCTTTGAGTTCCTATAAGTCAAATACTAGCTCAAGTATTGGAGATGTGTCAAGTCATCCATACACAATGAGAACCATCACTCCGTATCAAAAGGATCAATGATTGGCTCCACAGCTACAGAGAGCCAAGTCTGTGGATTGCTCCAGCCCCTTATGTATTTCATACAACAAATGCACATCCTCCTGGGAAGACTTACATAATCTCTAGGTTATTTGTTAACACCCAATGCAATGAAAATGCCTTTAAATAACAGTAATATTGAATTGTTCAGGAAATAATGACCAAAAATAAGTCTTTATATGTTCAATAAATGTGTAATTTTTCAAAGGTTTTTGATAGCCTTGGTTGACTCTGCAGAGGAAACAGCTGGCTATAGACTTCAATATATTATGTATGTAAAAAAACAAAAGATCCTGTCTTTGAAGAGTTTACATTTTCATGGAGAGGGAGACAAAACTTGATAAATTACCATTATAAATATGTACATATACATAATGTTAGAAGGAGATTTTGTAGAGAAAAAGAGTTCATTTTTATAGCTATTAAAAGAAGCATTATCGCCAGGCGTTGGTGGCACACGCCTTTAATCCCAGCACTCGGGAGGCAGAGGCAGGTGGATCTCTGTGAGTTCGAGGCCAGCCTGGTCTCCAGAACAAGTGCTAGGGCAGACTCCAAAGCTACACAGAGAAACCCTGTCTCAAAAAACCAAAAAAAAAAAAAGCATTATCCTATGTCTCCTTTAAGTATATCGAATTATGACTCAAAAACACCAAAGATGTAAACATCCACTGTGTCATACACAGTAGAATGTCAAGTATCTGAAGGTCATGTGACAAGTAGTAGCAAGGATGTGGGCATCGCAAATAATGCTGGTAAGTCTGTCCCAGGCACATATTTCATCCCTTTATATCTCTGCTTTGTATCAGGCTGCACCTTGCATGCCTGCCTTCCACCCCTCTCTCTGAGCTACAAATCATTCAAGCCCCATTTCAAAGGTCTACATCGCCCATGAGGCGTTCATGGAGAATTCCAACAACAAATGTTTTCTTGTATCTCCTTGCTACTTTTTGGTCTTGCTGTCTGCCACATAGCTGAAGGTTTGATTCATATTTCAGCAGCATTTGCTTTACCTGTCACACTCTTCTAACATCTGACTTGCCTGTCATCTTATCATGTGTGTGTGTGTGTGTGTGTTTTTTAATCCTATAAGAAATAGTGTGTTTGAATAAGATTGTCACCTCCCTAAGACAGAGATTACCATTTAGGGGCTGGGTGTAGCCTAATGGCTTAGTGCAGAGCACTTGGCTGGCATGTGCTACATCCTAGGTTCCATCCACCTGGGGAAAACAAGGATTATCACTGTCAAGTGTCACTATAACACATAGCACAGTGGCAGACCCAAGACACGCCCTCAACTCTACAGAACTGGGCTGCAGAGATGGCTCAGTAGGCAATGTGCTTGCCTTACAAATATAAAGACCTGAATTTGAAACCCAGATCCACACAAAAAGGAACTGGGTGCAGTGGTGCACACCTGTAATCCCAGTGCTGGCCAGCCAGCCAGCCTAGCCTACGTGGCTAGCTCCAGGCTAATGAAAAATCAAAGTAGAAAGTACCTAAGAACAACAGCAGAGGTTACCCTCTGGCCTCCGTGCACATACACTGCCATACACACATGGGCACACACCCACACACCCACACACACACAGAGAGAGAGAGAGAGAGAGAGAGAGAGAGAGAGAGAGAGAACACAAGACAGAGAGACAGAGAGAATTAAACCGCTGCCCTATGAGTCACTTGACTGTGAACTGGAACTTGCCATCATATTTGACAATATTTTTATATACCTTCCAGTATAAGTTCAATTAATGAAACCCAAGTCCAAAAGGTGAGCACAGTACCTTATCATACTGACAGACAATTACATTATCTGTGTCAAACAGGTCTGGCACATCCTGCTCACTGACATCATCTCCGGAATTTAGAGGGTCCTAAAGATGAAAGATGGTCACATTAAGGGACTTCATGATGCCTCAAATTATTTAAAGACAGAAAGACATAGGAGTAAAGGGACCTGAAGAGACAGAATAATACTTTTTGCTTTAAAGTCAAATAACTTGGGTTTGGATTCCATCTTGACCACTTAATTACATGATCAACCTTGGACAAATTACCAAAATCTCCTGTATCTTGGTTTCTCATCTATGAAACGAGAAGTGCTTCAAGACCTAGAGGATACCAGGACTGTTAAAGACAGTAAATCAGATAGACAATTACCATAGGCAGACAGTAGAAGGCAGCCACAAGTGAGAGCCAACAGCCCTCACCAACTTAACTACCACATCCCACTCAGACTTCATCACATTTACTAGAGAAAGAACAAAACCTGTGTCTCCTAAGCCTCCTAACTTAAAAGCAACAAATATAAAACCAATTCCTAATCATGCAACAGCAGGTTAAATTACAGTTTAAGGTGGAAATGCTTAAGGCCCTGCATACAAATAACTCTAAGTTTAAAAGACTGAAGGCGAGGTTAATCTTATCAAGAATTGCATTGTGAAGTCCATGAAATCACAAGTCCTGTTAGTTAATAAAGCAAGTCTCGGCTCAGGTGAGCACCTCACCTCTTCCATGGTGTCTATTTGGTGGTCCTCATTGTCACTGCTGTTAGCAGTGGAGTCTTCATTTGATACACTGTCAGCCTCTTCCTCCAGGACCTTGAGGTCACCGGCATCCACGATCCCTGGGAATTCATTCTCGTCTACATCTCTTATACTTCCCCCTTCTTCAGTAGAAGAGTTGTCACCAGTTCCATCTATTTGGATTATTTCATTAATGTCATCATCAGTTACCTGAATATTCAGGTCCCTCTCAGAAGAAGAACTCTGCAAGAGGAGGAGACACCGTTGAGTTCTTCGGGTCAGGCGGGGCACTGAAGCACTGAATCTGAATGTTAAGTCAAATGACTGGCAAATACTGCACAAGGGACCATTTAAACATATCTCTGCCTTCTAAGACCAGTCTGAAAGCTTGGAATTCTGGGATATCTTTAGCATTTCTAACAAGAATGATCGTTCAGTTACAAGTTCAGTAAACACATTATTATACGCTGTCACCAAATGAGCTCACTGCTTTCACATAGTATTTGCCAGCTTTTGCATATATCCCCTTAGATAGCATGTACTTACTGAATTTTAACTTGGTTAAAATGGCAACTGAGTGACGTAGAAAAGACAGTGGCTCGAGAAATGAATGCAAATTCCAAAGGACTATATAGGTCAAAGCAGTCAATACAGAACAGCTATTTTATTTCACTTAACCTGAGGCGCCTGTTGTAGAAATGTCTGTGGAGACAGAAGTGAAACAAAGACTACCAAGGTGAGGGAGGAAGAGCGCAATGGGGGAGCATCATCTTAGTTAAGGTTTCTATTGCTGTGAAGAGACGCCATGACCACAGCAGTCTTACAAGAAAACATTTCACTGGGGCTGGCTTAGAGTTCAGAGGTTTAGTTCATTATCATCATGGTGGGAAGCATGGCAGCGTGCAGGCAGACATGGGCTGGAGAGGGAGTTTGAGAGTTCTCTATCCCACTCAGCAGGCAGCAGGAAGAGAGTGAGTCACTGGGCCTGGCCTGAGCATCTGAGAACCTCAAAGCCCACCCTGGGTGACACACTTCCTCTAACAAAGCCATACCTATTCCAGTGAGGCCACAGCTCCTAATAGTGCCACTCCCTATGGGCCTATGGGGGTCATTTTCATTGAAACCACCACAGGTTATTATTAGTGTTTCTCTTTGAGATGATTAAAACCTTCTGGAAATGGATAGTTGAAGGTGGAAGTAACTTAAACATTAAACCCTGGCTATATCATTAGCTATTACTTTTATCATTTTTTTCTCTCAAACGAAGCTTACAATCATCTGGTAAATACTTTATACACATTTTCTAATTTAAATCTAATTGCAACATACCAAGATGAGACACTATGGCTTTCAAGACCACAACGGCAGCAAAGAGTGAGACAGGATTAAAGCCCAAGCTTGATTTCAGAGGGTTCACCTCCAATGCAGTGTATATACTCTCATTGGTCCATCACAGTGGGCTAGCGCTCCCCAAAACCTCAAGTCTGTCACAGTGGGCTAGAGCTCCCCAAAATCTCAAGTCTGTCATAGGGGCTAGAACTCCCCAAAACCTCATGTCTGTCACAGTGGGCTGGAGCTCCCCAAAGCCTAATAAAAGAGGTACTTTCTGTAACCATAAATAACACAGAATTTACAGCAGAATTCTTATCCTTTTTGACAAAATCAGCCCCTTAAGAAACTAATCAAAGTGTGTGTGTGTGTGTGTGTGTGTGTGTGTGTGTGTGTGTGAGTGTGTGTGTGTGTGAGTGTGTGTGTGTGTGAGTGTGTGTGTGTGTGAGTGTGTGTGTGTGTGTGTGTGTGTGTGTGTGTGTGTGTGTTATAAAAAGAGGATATGCATTATGGGCATGGTTTCAGAGGTATATGAAAACCTGTATTAGTATTGGGGAAATTAAGTGAAACTTTAGATTAACGCACACAGCCAAGGTCTTTCTTTAAATATATAACATGTTTCTAAGAGATTTATGCCTGATATGAACAAAGTTGTACATGGTTACATGATTTTTCAAAACTCCTCTCTTTTGTGAAGATGATTAACATAAACATTCATTTTTTCTCATTAAAATGACTTTATGTGGATTTAATCACTTATTTTAATAACTAAAAAGAAATGAAAATAATTTAAACACTGTTGAAGCCCAGATCTGGTGCAGCATGCCACTAATACCAGCACTCTGGAGGCTAAGGCAGGAGGATCACATGAGTTCAAGGTCATTGTCTCAAAACTGAAAACTTGGTAATAAGCTCCAGATGTTGTAAGGTAGAACAAAGACATGCTGGCTGTTTGGGAAGCTCACAGATGGACAGCTGGACACAAGTTACCTGACATGGGATACTTTTGTCTCTCAGGACTAGGTACACAAGTACATTCAAGGGCACTGAAAACATAGCTATCTGACCTCAAAGAGCCTCCGCATATCAGCCTCAGAAACTGTTGGAATCTTCAAGGCCACTGATGCTAGCAAGGCTCCCCAGCAGGCCCAGAAGCTTTGTTGTAGTTTGAACAAATATACCCTCTTTCTACTCCTGTGTTTGTAATGGTATAGACAACACAATTATACACCTTAATGCATCACTTTAAGATACTACTTTAACATAGGAAATACTCAACTTGTTTTTGAGTGGATAGTTTCTGGGATGCATATCCATGTAAATATTCTCTACAATGAATCCTCACAAAGTACTCTTTAAAAATAACCTTACATAAAAGATTTAACATTAATAAACATACAAGTAATTAGTTTACATGCAATTAACTTTTTCAACATTGGAAACAGACTGCACTCACAGATGGAATGAAGGTACATCACTTATGCAGAAATGAATGGCTATGGTGTGACTGAAATATAAATAAGTCTAAATTACAGAAACAAGATTATGTTTATTCATGTACCAAAAAACATGGCCACTGTCACTTATAAAAATGCTTAAAAAAAAAAAATCACCACCGCCACACTATCAAAGAGCAGAAGCCAAACTATTGCATCACAGCTTTGCTTGATTTCATTTTTAAAAATCTATCTGGGGTACTGGACACTGAAGGACACAAAACTTGGTTGTATGGAAAATATAAATACATCTCTCTGTGAGAAAAATGACAGCCATCTCCAAGTGTAGGTACCATGTACCCAAGTCTGTCCTTTTCTATACAAGATGTTTGACCATCAATCAAAATCAGTAACATGAAACCAAAATAGCAAGAGAGGCCAGCTATAGGTATGAAAGCCAATCAAGAGAAAGAATCAGACCATGATTGATGTTAGGCAATCCGATGGGAAACGTGGGCTGCATGAATAAACATGACCCTAGCATGGAAACTTCCTTGGCCATACAGAAAATATGAGTCAGGAGGAAACTCTAAAAATAAAAAACATCAGAGTAAAAATTTCATCTGAAGGAGTCATCAGTACAATCAATACAGACAAAGGAAGAATCAAACATATGCAGATAAAGAGAAGAAAGAACACAGCAACAACAAACAAGCAGTTTAATAACTATTCCAGGCATAAATGGTTTAAACACACCAGTTACAAAGCCACAAGGCTGGACCAAGTTAGCAATACCCAATGACATCCTTCCTGTGTATAAGAAACCACTTTGTATGTAACACAGATCAGTTAAGAGTATCTAAGGTGAGGGCTGGTGAGATGGCTCAGTCGGTAAAGGGACCTGATGCCATGCCTGACAAACTGGTCCCTGGGACCCACATGGTAGAAGGAGAGACCCTACCCCTGCAAATGGTCCTCTGACCCCCCCATGCATGCTGTGACACAAACACACATCACACACAGACACCAAACAATTTAAATGTGAAGGTCTTTAAGAAGGACAACGTGTACCTTGCAAATACCAATCCAAGTAAAACTAAAATGGTGATATCAATCTCAAAACAGGAATATTACAAAAGATAGTAACAATATTACCTAACAATAAAAGGCTCTTTTGTAGGAGAAGACAGCAATCCTAAATTTTTATACATGTATCAATACTATGAATATCCCTTCAAAAATATGCAAACAAAAAACAGCTGGAGATGTAGCTAAGGAGTAACAGCCAAGTTTATTATGCACCAAAGCCCTGAGTTAAACTGCACAGAACAACAATAAAAATAACTAAAGGAAGTAAAAAAAAAACAGGTATGTTCATAACTGTCATTGCTGTCAGTAAGCAACAGAAACATTGACAGTAATTACTCGGTAACAATACAGAAGACCCGAACAATGCATACAATCTATATGACCTAACTGACATGTATAAAATATTCTATCCAAAAGTAGTCAAACAACTTTTTATCCAGAGCACAGGAGGGCTGGAGAAATGACTCAGTACTGATTTGCAGTGCCAGCATCAGGCAGCTCACAATGGCCTCTGCCTCTTAAATGCCAGGGTTAAAAACATGCATCTTCCCTCCCCGCCTAGGCAACTCTCAGCAATCCTTTACTGAAGGAAACTCTGTCCACCTGTAAAAGATTCCTACACAAAGCCATAGCCGGCATGGCACTTGCTAACAAGACTTGACTTTTTTCCTTTGGTATCAAGAGCAAACAGATGGCTCTCTCCACTCTGATTCTGTACTAGAAGTCTTAGAGAGACAAGGAAAAAAAGAAAGAAAAGGATGTTGACAAGGAATCAATTAAGCTGTTTCTGCTCACAGTGATTATAACTGTATAAAACAATTCCAAGGACTACACAAACTTGCCTGGTTTTAGCAGGTGACAAGATATAAGATAAGCTGGCAAAAATCAATTGTATGTACACAGTAGCAATAAATAATTAACTGAAATTGTAAACCAGTACATTTGAAGCAGGAAAAGAGAAAATAGCTTTCTATACTCACTAACACTTTTGTCGGGTTTCTAACACAACACCCAAAGGCAAAATCCAGTGGGACAATATATTTAAAGTGCTTAAAATAGGGTAGGGGTTGAATCCAATCCACATCCCAATGAAAGACACTGTTGAAGTGATTTATATAGCTGTTGCCACGCCTCCTTCTCCCCCTTGCATAACGTTTACCTGCCATCTTAAACAGGAGGGGGGAATTAAAACATTCCCAGATAAACGGTAAAGGGACCCATCACCACTGGGCCTCCCAGAAGCCCTTCCGGTTGAAATCAAAGGACACTAGATAGTACCTGGGAAACAATAGGAAGACATTTTCCAGAAATGGGGAGTTGACAATGGCAAACACTGAAGCCCACATGACTGTAATTTTAGTGCAATAGTCTCTTTATTCTTCTTTAAGG